CGGGACTCCAGGATCATGACCTGAGCCGAAGGCAGTCGCTTAACCAACTGAGCCACCCAGGCGCCCCTTATTCCCCCTTTAGATGGTTGTTGGTGAAAGCTGTCCAGGAACTTTCTCAGGCTTACCTTCTTCCAACAATTCAGCTTGGTTTAATATACTTGAGTCAAGATTTATATTCATTCTCCTGTTTTAAAATGCTGGAATGGGGCACCTGGGTGGCTTAGTCCGTTAAGCATCCAACACTTGATTTCAGCTGAAGTCATGAGATCAGGGTCGTGAGATCAAGCCCTGCATCAGGCTCCGCACTGGGCATGGAGCCTGCTTAAGATTCTTCCTCTCCCTCTGCCCCTCCCCACAACTTGCGTGTGCGCGCGTGCTCTCTCTCTCTCTCAAAAAAAAATTTTTTTAAAAAGTGCTGGCACAAATGAAGACCATGGCAGACAGAGAAAAAAGGCGTTGAGACCTATCAGTAAATATTAACAGGGTTACATCCCTGGGTAATGCCTCTGACACATAAAATCCCAAACATTCACTAATACTTTCAAATTTACAGATAAGATACATCAACTTAATTTCCAGTTAAAGTGAAACAACAGACTTTGAGGGCTATCTGGCTCTTCTTGGGCAGCATCATGAACTGTTATTTTTAATATCTTGGACAGGTTTTATGGGGAAGATTTTAGATAGTTTTCCCCCCTTTTGACTATTTTGGTCTCTCTCCCCAACATCCTTTTTTGGTAAGTATGTTTTTAAATGTAAATTATGGGGCACCTGGTGGCTCAGTCAGTTAAGTCTCTGCCTTCAGCTCAGGTCAAAATCCCAGGGTCCTGGGATTGAGCCCCACGTCCGGCTCCCTGATCAGTGGGGAGCCTGCTTCTCCCTCTGCCCCTCCTTCCCAACTTGTGCTCACTCTCTCAAATAAATAAAATCTTAAAAAGAAAATGTAAATTATAGGGCACCTGGGTGGCTCAGTTGGTTAAGAAAATGTAAATTATACTTAATGTTTGTGACCAGGTGAGGGTGAGAGCAGATGGAAGAAGCTCTGCTGGGGATACTCCTGCCACTTTCTTTCATGCTCCACACACCTACCTACACCATCCTACTCTGATTCTAGCAATAGTGTAGTATAAAGTATGCTCTGATAATAGCGTGTCTTTTTTTTTTTTTTTAAGATTTTATTTATTTATTTGACAGAGAGAGACACAGCTAGAGAGGGAACCCAAGCAGGGGGAGTGGGAGAGGGAGAAGCAGGCTTCCTGCTGAGCTGGGAGCCCAATGCGGGGCTTGATCCCAGGACTGAGCCACCCAGGTGCCCCTGTCTTAAAAATAACGTTGATGGAGCTCAAAAGGGCATTAGGTGCTCATCACCACCTTCTACAACACAACTTTGTCACAGAGGCAAAACCAAGCCTTTCTACCTGAGCAAGAAGGTCCCTAAGCCTCTCTTATGGTTTAGTCACCAGAAGCACAGGGAGAAAGAATGAAAGAAGCCCTGCAGCAGAGAGTTCTGCTGGGTTTCCAGACCTTAGAGGGACCAGGCAGAGACCAAGAGGATTTAGTGAAACACCATGGAGCTGACATCACTGGTTCTTACATTTCTGACTAAGTTCCTCACATAGGTGAATAGGTTCTGGTTAATAAAGTTCACTGTTGTGCGAAAGACATCACGGAGCAAGGATGGTGTGTGATCAGCCACCTTTTTGGCCAAGAGCATGGCCAACATCAGCATGGTCTTCTCCTCCTCCATGTCTGTAGGGTAAGTCTGCATGATCCGCTCCAGCGCAGTGACGAGGTACCTCCTTCTGTCCTGCATGGGTGAAAACAGGGTCACACAAAACTGAGTTTACTAATATTCTGCCCTCTGAAAGGAAAACAGTCCTCCAACGTTAAGTAGAAAGCAGCTTTCATTTCATAGGGAGGAACTTACTAAACAGCTGAGGAGGTTGGAGGACAGAATGAGAAATTATTTAATTTTTTTTTTTT